TACTGGAGTGGTGGGGCTCAGACCTTTAGGTCTGGTTTGTTGGAGAAGCTTCTGAAAAGTTCCCACCACTTCTCAGAGAGCAATACCAATGTCATTAAGGATCACTTCTATGTCACTGTGGAACCAGATCTCTTACCTCCTTCAAATGCAGGATTTGAAAGTATGCGAGAGTGTGTAAGATGTGACTTTGACTGTTTCATTTTCAGATCAGCAATTTGTTTGATGGTCTGCTTGCTCTTTCAGCATCCTGAGAACCTGTCTGTCAAACTTTAAAAAGGCAGAAATAGCTGAATAACATGCTGCAGTTAATGTAAATTATGGGAGTTCACTCAAGCCACTCCAGTTACGTTTACCCTCAAGATTATTGTGAGTTCAAGGCTTGTATGATAATTTTCAACAGTGATACTTCAGTGACTACTTCATTGTGTTGCTTGCTCGTTTGAGGTGATGCCTCATCTTTATAAACAGCACAGGAGAATAGTATATGGTTTTCCAAAAGGTAGCTGATATTCACTGTCCAGAAAGGAAGAGAAGGGTTGGAGCACAAAAAAAGAATATTTTAGGGCAGGCAGGAAGAATTCAGAACTTGAAGGAAAGGAAAGCAAAAATTTAAGCAATGGGGAAAGGAGTCTCTGAAATGGTCTTTTCTTGTACTTCTACTTTCACCTATTTTGAGGTGATTCTTTGCATATGGGGACAATAAATGCAACTGTAATAAGCTATTCTGTGCTTTGAAAATAAGGCTTCAAGGTTATCATAGTTGCATCCTTTTCTGGAAACGGAGGCAGCTCTTCAGGTGAAGGTGACATCCCACTTCAGTTGTGAGCATCACGCCTCACACACAGCAGTGATGCTGTGTTGTGAGAGCTGGTATGTAGGATTTAGCATGGAAGAAGCAATGGAATGCTACTTACCAGAGACATATTTCTCACACTGCTTCTCAGACTGGACTTGTTGTTTAAGGACCTCTTGTTCAACTTGTTAATGCCTTAATCCTCTTCCCTACTTTAGATGCATGCTATGATAAGACTTTGGAGTTCAGCAATCCAGAGCAGCAGTTAAATTGTTAGCAAGCTGTAATGTTTGCTTTTCAGAAAGCAAGTGATTATATGAGTGATGGAAGAAAGTAAAAAAAACAACAAACCACAAATTAATATATGCCTCCTCTCATATGGATTCCTTATGGTATGAAAGTACACTTAGAAGAATTAAAAAAATAGTGTCCAAGAATTACCTTTGGTCTGAGTAAATGCAGAACTACTTTATTACCTGGAGAAGGAACTTGCCTGAACGAGTTGGAAAGAATGGGGAGCTGCATGTGGGTAGAGACTATATGAAGAATGACTTTCAAACTAGAGTTACTGGCCTGCTGGGAGCATTTGTACTGCTTCTAGGCATGTGTGCAAAATGTAGAGCAGTCTAGCGTCAATTCAGGACTGCTAAAATATGTCCCTTCCCTTTTTTGGCCCTACCTGCTTGTGACTGCACAATGAGATGGTGAAAACTGCAGCTAAACTGAGTTCAGTTCAGATGAAAACTAACTGGTTGCTTCAACTGCTTTTCAGCTATATTGTTTCTAAAAAGTTAATGTTAAACACTTACTTGATTTTGGTATTTTTAAGTGTCCTAGAAGTCATATCATCCATATTTCTGAGAAGTATGCATGAAAGAGGAATCTCCTGGGAAGAAAACCATAGAAGTCAAATAGAGCAAGCACGAAAATGTGTTACAGTCTGGAATTGTTCTTGAGCTGTCCTGGATCTCCACATCACTGGTGTTTAGAAGTTTGGGGTTTGGAATAGTCTGCAGGACATGATAATTTTAGGAGTAACAGAGTCTAGTTTGTGTGATTTGCAGAGCCTAGACTTTGTTCAGTACATGTTTATCTGTTGAAATAATGCTGATGTTTAAAGGAAAAAGTAGGCTGGACTGGACTGCCATTTACCTGCTTCAAGCAGAGCACTAGGTGCCTTTGCATCAAGTAACTAAAGCTTTGAATTGAAGTGAGACACTGGATTCATCCCTTTAGCTCATGTGAGTGCTTTCATGTGGCTGTACCTTTCATTCCAAGGAATTTTGTTCTGCCTGTGCTGATGTAATTTCTGAAGGTTTACTCTAAGTAGTAAAAGTATTTCTTTAACTTCTGTTAATAAAAGGACAAAATCAAATAGGAAAAGGAATCTTAAGTCTGCGTGAAAGATCAAGCTAGACTTTGTATTGATTTACTGAACTAAAATAAGCTCTTTTCTTGTTACCTTTACTCCTTCATTGATGGAAATCTTGTTTCTAAATGAAATTGTAAAAAAAATGGTGAAATTCTTCCTATCTGAATGTGACTTTTTGTATTCACTCACTGTAATGAAAAATACCTTGTTTCATGATTCAGCATGTTAGATGTATAGTCTGCAAGTATTCGTAAGGGATTTCTCTTGTTTTCTCTTCTGTCCTTTTAATAGCTACTGAGCTAATTTTTTTATGGGTGTGGCACTGAAGACTTCAGGTGCACCCAGTATTGAACCATGTGCTTCCTGTGTAGTTGCTTTTCTACTCCCATCAGAAAGGCCATGAGAGGTGGCAAGTGAGATATTAAACACTAATCTGTTCTGTAAGTCAGATAGTAATGTGAGCAGTGCCACAGCGTGTGGTGCATCTGCCTTGAGATGTTGTGCCATGAGTGAGAGATGGCTGTGCATTCCTTGCCAGGTGGGTTCCACTTTATGTGGGGTGAGCAGCTCTTGGCACAGCAGGGACTCTTCTCCTGTCTCTGTCAGCCTTGAGAAGATTTAATGCTGAAATACCACAGGGCAAAAACTCCCAAGTGCTCTGAACTGGCCTGCTGGAAGGCCCAATGCGTGCTTTCAGGGCCATCTATGTGCCCCACCGGTTTGGGAAGCCAGGCAAGGGTGCTCTGCCACAGGAGCTCTGGGTGGGTGAAGCTCCTGGCCCATGCACAGTGGCAGGGGAGGAGAGCCTATGTGTCAAAAACAAAGAGCAGTTCATTTTCATAAGACCAATAAACAGGCATGCCTGGATGAAGCTGTAGTCCCTGTATTTACAGAATTTGAAACACCAAATCTTGGAGCATAGCTGTAGTCCCTTTTGTTCTTGTCATTACGTGGATTACTGCTGCAATTCGTAAAATACAAGTTGTCCAGGCTGTATTCCGGCTTCTCAAAAACAGGATGTATTATTGTTCTCCAAATTCTCAGGATTATTTTTTTTTCCTCCCTCTGCATGCATGGCCTCTTCACGACGAAAGTGATCGTAAGTATTACTCTAGAGGCATCTAGTCTTGAAAGAATTTTAATAGTTTCTCTTCAGGAACTTCTACACTTCCTTTGCATTTTATTGATACAGTTGCTGTATGGGATGATAGGTTAACTTGAACTTTTTTTTTTTAAAAAAAAAAAAAGACAAATTACTTCCTGGGGTTAATGAGTGCTCTTCCTTTGGTATTTTTATGGAGTAGAAGAACCATGAGGATCCCATGGACAGTCCCTT